GTTGATTATTGCATCACCCACTGGTTTTCTGCCACTTGCATATCCAGTGAGGTTGTCGGATGCGTACCGTGAATTCTTCCTTGTGTGCGGGACTTGCATGAACTTGACATCATACTCACTGTATGAAGAAATATCTGATTCTAGAGATATACCTTTGTTCTGACTGATTCTTGTTTCTAGCTTAACTATTGCAGATCTGACACTTGGAAAACACTGCCATATCCTGACAATCCATTGTTTATTTTCTTGTACCAGTGCCATACTGAAGAAGGCTGGGCAGCTTGCTTCAGAATCCATCGGGGTATCGTGCTACGAAAGAGTGGATAGCTTGTGCTCGAAGCTTTCTGGGGATATCTTGTTGAGGAAGGCTAGGCACCATATCTTATAAGCTCCCCCCTTAAAGACTTACTAGGGAAGACTCGGTACCTTATGCCAGAAGCTTTTGCAGTACCCAATTAAAATGACTGAATATCTTGCACTGGAATCCATTCATACCTTTCTGATGCAGACCGGGGAATCTTTCCTTGTACGCTTTGCTGATAAATTGTGGAGAAGGACTGGACTGATCTTCTTTGTGAACGGATTAACATATATATTCTTGTCATTCCGATTGCTTATAATTTGTATGACAAGAACTGTCTGACTGTCCTTCTTGCTGAATTCATTGCATATTTGGACTGATTACTGGGTGCCGCATGCTTCAAATCTGACACATGGCAGAATCAATCATTGTGCATGAACCATGCCTCTGACTTGAAATGCATGTTGGACTTGGATCCAATTTTGTTCTCTTTCTGGTTTAATCATTTCTGCAATAAAGATGGATCTCTGACAAGTGCTTGTTGCTGAAAGTCTGAGCAGAATATAACTTGTATTCAGACCAGATGTCTGCAATACCATGCTGTTAGCTGAAAATTTCATTGCTTTTAACTGAGTTCCTTAATGTATCTCTGTACTTCACACAGCTTCTTCTGATCCGGTGTCGGTTGATGAGCAATTTTACATAAGGAGGTAACATTGAAGATTCAAAACAAAGAAGCACAAGAAAATGATCGATTGCACAAAGCACACAACAAACAAGCTAGAAAACTAATCCACACAGGCACACACAAGCATAAACAAGCAATGATACTACAGCAGATGCACATGCACTACATGAATGACTACACCCTACGCTTGAGCAAATGCTCGGGGACTGACGAAGAAGCTAAGGGAGTAGCGAGTGGAACTACTGACTCCGAAATTCTAGAGGGATGAGGCGGAGGGGTTGGAGAAGCTGGCGGAGATTGAGGTAGGGAAGCACCAAGCAATCTCCGGGCTCGAATGGCATCTCAGACTAACCCGGAAATAAGAAGACACTTGGCCGTCATGTAACGGGACATGGTGAGGATAGCCGGGTCATCTTGAGGGTTGACGGACGGAAACTTGATCGCTTAGGATTCTCAACAATGGTGGGATAGAATTGATAGGCATGATTCTCTTGCACCATGCTCTCTTGATGATGAAGGCCGGTGATTGCTGCCATTGCGGCAAGCTGAACGGCACGCTCGGGAGTAGCGCCATAACAACCGTGGAAACTGTAGGTGCACTTACCAACAGGAATTGAGGCTAATAGATGGACATGGGTAACATACTCCAGGATTCTTCCTCTGGCAGAAAACTGGAATACTTGATAATGGGGTGGATCTCCATGGGAATAAATGCTATGCCACATGTCGCCAAGGAGGGTGGAAAAGCTGAGAGGTGCAGGAGTCGGATTGAACGCAATAGGAACAACATCGGGGGCTCTGGGAAGGGCACTTAACTCATGGAAGCTGACCGCCATCTACGCACAAAACAGGGGTTAGGGGTAACCTACTAAGACTATATGCAGCAAACAAATGCAACAACCAAATGCAGCAAGCAAGGGCAACAACTAGACCCTGTACTACTATTTGCTAACATTCCAGCTGACTAGGACGCTCTACAGCCAGGCCTGCTCTGATACCAAGCCCGTGGCACCCCGGCTCAGAGAAACCGGAACACCCCGTATTCCAGCCCAGATATCAAGATGAAGTCTTCTGCAATACGACACTTCTTAGCATAGAACAAACCAACTTTCTATTACAGCCTGAATATGAATACAAGGTCTCCGATATTGCAATGAATAACACCGGCACGGCGACACAACGCCAACCACATTTTCTCTATGTAAGCAGCATAACAGGTCGAGGTAGCGGAACCTGTACTGGCAGCGGAAGAACTATTGGCAGCGGAACAATGAACGACGATGATGGACTCCAATCCACAGGGATTCTGACGGGAACGTTTATCCTAGCTTGCGAACACAGGAACCACTCCGAACAAGCAAGCAATCTAGGCATGACCTGCAAACTGGCATGACACGCTAGGTCAGTACATTGAATGTACTTGCAATCTCACAATAAACCAAAAGCAGTCAAGACAAACAACAACATGGCATTAGCAGGTTAAATCAATCATGAACATGATACTAGCAGAACAACATGGTATGCACAACTGAACATGATACAATTTTAGCATGGCATGATCATATGAACATGATGATACTACATGCAATAGGTTAACATAATCATGCACCAACTTACTCTGCTCGGGTTACCTCGTAACCAAAAAATGCATTACTTACCAATGCGGACATCACATGATCATCTCAGGATCAAATCAAGCTTGGTATACCAATACCGTAGTAATCATTACATGACCACAAGGAGCATGACCTCTACCCGTGATTCTCGCATAACGCCACAAATATCCAACCACTCGGTATCCTCGATACCACGGTGATCCTCTCATGATCACATAAAGATCAACCAACTTCTTCCATCATTGAACCAGGGTTGTTATTAAGCACATCATTATTATTATTGTTGACCCATAGTATGACCGACTTCGAACTGGGCCCATATCCGCGGGCGCGGTTATCGATAGATTTAACACACACACACTCTGCAGAGGTTAGCACACTGTACCCACACCATGGAACCCATGGCCTCGCACTGCCATTCGGGTGGACCAACGGCGTTCCGACCAAACCGCTCTATTGCCCATGACACTCTTCCGGCCACTCCGACCAACTCCCCTCTGGGCTATGTCATCGGTGGCCCCGTGCCTACCAAATGCATCAACGGCCACCGTCCTGGCAGAACAACCGGTCCCAAACGGGGCCATGAGCTCAAAACCAAACATGGGCACACAAGGCTTATGCCGTCCTACCCGGACAAAGTAGCGCCTGCGCATAAACTTCCCTCATTGGAGGCACCGGCGAGAGGCATGACAATAGACCCAGTTAGGACCTTCCCATAAAGGCAAATGTGGTTGCACTGGTCAGCTCAATTCAGCGGCACCATGACTCAGCCAACAATTGTTCAAGTTCAATTAATTCTGGTTAAACTTGAATGCAAGAAGCTGATTCATATTACAATAACATGATGCAACTACATTATATGAGCATGATATCATAAGCATGGAGGTGCAACATAATCATCGAGCATAAGCACAATGAAGCATATATCCGACTGAGCATGGCATACTGACGAGCATGAATAACACAAACATAACTCTATCATAAGCATAGCATGACCACTAGTATCATAAATAAATACCATGCAAGAACATAACGACAATACTACCAGGTGAGCATAAACCAGCTAGATGCAACGAAATATGCATATCAACGGTACTCGGTAATAGACGATAGTCATGCACCAAAGAACATAACCAACACCAACATGAACTACTAGCAAGCATGAACATATGAAAGTAATACTAGCTAGTAGATCATGATAACCGAGTGCAAGAAAACATAGCATGACGGTAACCACCGATCCATAAGCATAACCGAAATAACAATAGCAGTAGCAAAACAAACAGACAATTGTTACGCTGTGTTTGGATGTAGGAAAAATTGCTTGGAATTGAATTGGACTGGAAATTCCAAATCCAAGATGGAAAGGAAATGGGCTCCAATTCAAATTATATTGTTTGGTTGTGCATGGAATTTATTGTTGGAATCAGAGAATAGCACTCAATTCCAATTGCTGTTTGGATGTACAAACCATGGAATTGGATGTTTTTTGAGTTTGGACAATAGAAACTTCTGTACATGTATGAAAAAAAGTATTATGTGTATATTTGAATATATATATTATTTTACACACATAATAACATTAAAATGTTCTGAATAAGGTCAAAACAATAACGCGGGTAGAAATAAATATGGAAAAAGGAAGGATGCCAAAAAATAGTTTTAAAGTACCAAGAAAACAACATGGATAATAATTTTGGTAGTTTATGTCTCTTACACATAGCACAAGTAGATAGTTTTATGTCTCTTACACATAGCACAAGTGGATAGTTCGCAAACAAAAAAGTACATAATAGTCCATACATCAACTAAACATGATAGTAACAATTAACCAAAGGTCAAGAGCCATGGCTTCCTTAACTCCTCAGGTAGCGCCATGAGTGCTTCAAACAAACTCTCATTGACAATCAATTTTCCATAAGCTCTCAGCATATCACTATCTTCCAAATCTGGTACCTTCTTTAGTGCAGCAAGGATTTCTGTTGGAGGAGTCACCTTAGGTATAGGAAGTTGCTCGGTTGTCTTCAAAACATCATCAAAAGACATCTTCATCTTTCCCATCATGCACAAGATAGCATCCCCGGTGCGTTGCCTCTTCTGAGGCACCTCAGGAGCTTCTTCAACAACAGGTGTGTCTTGTGGTTCTTGAACACATTCAACTCCTGTCCTAGCACCTGCACCGGTCGCATAATCTTTTGAATATATGATATTGATGGACTCCCAATTGTGCACTACCTTGTTCCTATAGGCACGTGCTTCCTTGTTAGCCTACATAAAACACACAAATGAGATGTTATTAAAGTTGCAAAAATAACCACAAAATAAATTTGGTGTTAAGTACCTCCACATATTGAGACCACACTTCTTCACTATCAACTGACACCATGTTCTTTACTCAATCCCATCCAAAGCCACTCTGTGCAAGCATCTTGGTAATGATCTCATACTGCTTGCCAAATGTTTTGATTCTTCCTGTTATGTTTTCCTTCGTAATGTCAACATCACATGTATCCTTGACATGCTTAATGCAAGCATTATACACATGTGGCTTCCAACCATTTTGAGCATGGTCACCATTGTTGTGATGCTCAACAAGGACGGCCAACAATTCTATGTCCATCTCAGGAGTCCATGTAAGGTAAACTCTACTTTTTTTCCTTTTGGTTCGGCCATGCTTCTACAAGTAAAATAAATGAATGTGCATAAAAGTAAGAACAAAAGAGCAAGCACGAGTAAGGTAAACATATATATTAGTACGAACAAAAGATGAAGCATGTACAACCCATAACACACAAGGCACCATCACAGCCAGCATGCTACCACACAAAAAGGGCACCATCACCAAGCTAGCACAAAAAAGGCACCATCAGCTAGCTATCTACTCCACCGGTACTTATCTACTCAATCTCTAGTTCTCCATGCGCCACAAGGTACTCAGCATACATCTCATCCACAAATTGTTGCCTAAAATTGGACCATGCATTTGTTTGTTGGACACTTCTAATGAAAGTAGCATCATCTGCAGGTTCAGGAGTCATAGCCGCTAGCTCAGCGTCGACTTACGGAAGCAATAAATTATTTCTCATATGCTGCCTATCCCTTGCATAGTTGTGTAACACACAACATGCATTAATAAGACGAATCTGCAAATATTTAATTTATCATCAAAGAAGGAACACAGGATGGCCCATATGAACAATCAAATGGACATGTGTTACCTAGTCCTCTATGTCAAAGAAAGAACAAGAATGCAAGATGGCCCATTTTTTCTTCAACAAGCCAAAGGTTCTCTCCACGACATTTCAAGCACGAGCATGGCGCAAGTTATACAACTCTCTTTCATTTTGGGGTTGTTGTTGACTTGCCACCCACTCTTTCAAGTGGTACCAAGTGGATCTGAATGGAGATAGAAATCCAGGTCCATTGGTATAGCCAACATCAACAAGATAGTACTTTCCTATTGACAAGTACGTAAGTTAGCTAACAAGTACATATGAGAAATGAAACGCAAAGAGAAAGAGTCATACCCTGTGGTACAACAAATGCATCTTCACAATCGATTCTCATAGCATCTTTTAGCACTATCGAGTCCGATGACGAACCGTCCCAACCAGGTAGAACATAGAGAAATTTTATGTTCCAGTCAACCACACCTAGCATGTTAGTGCTAATATCTTGGTGCCTATTCCCTTTGTCAGCATCATTAACAAACACTAGAATATGACACCCATCTAGTGCTCCAAGTGCATTAGGAAACCACTTCCACTTGTAATCATCAGGAGGGGTGATAGAAGGATCGGGATGCTTGATAAACTCCCCGGTTAGAGACAGGATGGTTGAAACACAATAGAGAAATGCCTACTGATAGTCTCTAAAGAATGTTGGTACCACTACAAAAAAATACACTTCCGTGATGATATGTGTTTGCCACAGTAGGTCGCGTTTTTTGTCATGCATGTACATCCATGACAAATTTATGACAGAATCAAGATAGTCATACTTGTGCTGTCGTAGAAGTGTTCCATGACATTACCAAAATTATCATCACGGAAGTGTCCACTTCCATGACGATAAATCGCGCGTCATAGAAGTGCTTTCGTCAAGGGTGACCGACACGTGGCATCCAACGTAATAGAACACCGTTAAGCTATCGGGTCGGGTTTTGGATACGATAACCCGTTAACAGCCCCGACCAATGGGGATTTTCCATGTGTAAAATCATCATTGGCTGGAGGAAACACGTGTCGGCTCACCGTTGGGACAGATGTCATCCGCTCATTGGACCAAAGGCGCCTATGATACAGCGACACGTGGCACGACCCAACAGAGGCCCATTCCTGTGAAAAGGCCAGTCTGTTTGACTTGGTCAAAAGTTGGCGGCCCAGCCCACGGAAAGCCTGTTAACGGCCTGTTCGCATATAGCCCATTTACAGCCTGCTAACCCAGGGCCCGTTACGCCCTACCCGAATTAGGCCCAGTAGCGTCATCTGGGCCGTCCAATATGATTCATCTCGTTTTAACTTCCGGCCCATGTGTGGCCCATGACTTCTTTCGGCTCATATGAGGACCTTTGTAACTCTTGGCCCATTAATGGCCCGTGGTGAAACTGGCCCATAATGAACAGTCTATCACTTTATACCCATTAACGACCCGTTATTCCATTGGGCCGTTTCCAGCCCAAGTTATCTTTCGGCCTTCTTAGGGCCCATTGATTCTTGGGCTCACTTGCAGCATTCGGTTACATACGACCCGTTACTGTCATTTTATGCTTGTGGGCCAAATTCAGCCCGTCGTTACAGTCGGCCCGTTTGCAAACCGTTAATACGTTGGGCCGTTTTCATGTCAAAAAAACCTGTTGGGCTGTTTTCATAGAGTTATCAAATACGGCCTATTAACGGCCCGTTATGGTCCATGAATAGTATGGCCCATGATTGGCAAAATGATGATACGCCCCGTAGAAGGCCCATGGATCCTACGGCCCGTATGAGGCCCATGGATAGTACGGCCCGTAGAAGGCCCATGGATCGTACGGCCCGTAGAAGGCCCATGGACCCTACGGCCCGTAGAAGGCCCATTAATCCCTAAGGCCCGTATAGAAGGCCAATGGATCCTACGGCCCGCTTAGAAGGCCAATGGTCCTACGGCCGAACGAAGGCCCATGGATCATACGGCCTGCAGGAGGCCCATGGTTACAATAGTCCGTGTGTTGCCATGATTATTTTGGCCTAGTTACCAAAAATAGGCTATTGTGGCCACTAGAAAAACACAGAAAAAGAACTGCAATGACTACAAGCAAACAACTAAACAAGACAATAAGGAAATAAATAAGCAAGCAATTAAGGCTAGCCTATTACCGCTATTACACATATTACATCCACTGGGCATCAAAATTCGCCACCAGTGCAAATATAGGGAACAAAGCTGCATATTACATACACTGGCTGTCAAAATTGGCCACCAGTGCAAATAAACGCGGCAGCAAAACAAGAGCATAACTGAAACAACTTCAGAACAGCTCAAGAAACGTTATCCTGGGTATCCACCATGTTGGCAATAAGCTTAGCAAGCTGATTAGCTTTGTCCTGTTTGGCGCTAAAACCCTCCAACGCTTGCTGTTGCACCAGAAAGTATGCATCTGAATGCTCCAGGGACTTCCGCAGTCCTTCCGCTTCTTGTCGCAGCACAGCTGATCAATGTCTTTCAGCTTGTAGTTGAGACTCAAGAAACCGAACTGATTCAGACAGTGAGTTTGAATAGCTTGTGCAAGCGGTAGTGGCCAGTAACTCGAACACTAAACCAAGACAGGACTTTGGGGTTGTCTCGCTGTCTTCAAGATAGTCTTCCTTAGCTGTTTTATCAGCTTTGTTGGAGACCAACAAGGATGTGTCACTATCCTGAACCTTATCTGCATTACTTCCTTTACCATTGCTTAATAAGGCACTCTTCCCCAATATTCTGTCAGCATTCTAAAAGAAGAAACAAGCAAACACATAACAAGTTTAGCATGTACTAGTATATGAAACTCATTTTGGTGAACCAGTTCATTAGTAAGGTGGACAGGATTAAACTACCAAGTCTTCTATTACCAAGTACTAGTACATAATAAAAGCATCAAACAAACATATATCTATGTCCTATGGTCACTGCATTGTCTTGCCAAATCAAAATAGAGACACGGTTCAAATCATATCAGTTCAAGACAAAGCAGCAGTGAAAGAATACAAAGCGTGGGAAACTACAAGGCATAACAAGATTTCAGATGGGTACCACCGGTCTACATGTACAACAACACTATTGGCTCTATTGTGATGCTAGTAATGTGCATGATATGAAAGTCAACTGTATACACAACTGAAATTGAAATCAAAAGAGCTATTGATAAGAGCAAACCTGTTAAAGAAACATGCGTGAACATACCTGCTGTGCCATTGGAGTTTCGATTGGATCCTTCAATTTAAAAATAAGTTTGTATCAGTAAATACAGTGATACAAGAGCAAAGCAATCGTAGTTAAAAAAGGCGCGCCTAAGCGAGCGCTTAAGCGCGCCTAGGCTCTAGGCGTTGGCAAAATGCATTGCACATAACTACGCTTAATCTGTGCATAACTGCCCATAAGCATGCGCTTTGGTCAGTAAAGTGCAAGGCGGTGGCAAAACGCACAATTAATGCCTAGCGCTTTTTTGAATTATGATAGCAATGGAGCCTTAAATTAGAACATTTGTTCTTTAGGTTTAGGCACTTGTTCTACATGAACAAAGTACAGTAAGACGCAAGAATATAATACTTAAAAATAGAAAATGAGCTCATAGACCTTACCACATTCTTGGTTCGGGACTAGTACAGAACAAGGCGTTCCCAGTCATCGTCCAGTAAATGTGTCTCAGGAGAACGTAAGGGAATTTGATGAGTTTCTTTGCCGGTGAAGTACGTTTTCTTCAGGTAATTCCGATACTGCCACCAAGCATTCTTGAAGATAGCAGAGGTATTAGCACAGGTTACCTCATCCTGAGTTTCCAAATCGGTCCTTCTCTATAGAGAAAAGTGGGAAAATTTGCTGTATTATAACCATCATGGAGGTAGGATGTATGGGACGAAGCAAAGTAATTGCCATGAATAACATTACTTACATATAACTCCTGGACAAACACCTGCAACTGGCATTTTCCTTCATCTTCAGTATAATATTTCCAAGATGGGAAGATACGCACATACGATTTAACAACATCAAATGCGATAGATGCTAAACTACGACTGGCTGGTTGTGCTTCCTCCACAAGAATAGGCGTACTAACTGGTGGAGTTGGGGTTCGCCGTGATAGTACTGGCCCTTTGGGCACTGGAGCTGCCTTACTAACTGCTCTTGTTTGGGATCTCTGTGGTGGAGATGGTGCTATGTCAACAGGAACTGGGTTACTATCGGCTGGGGTTGGGGTTAGATTGGGTGAAGCTGGTTCTCTGTCCATCGCAGTAGGGGTACAATCTGTGAGAGTTTGGGTTATGCGTGGTAGGGCTGGTTTTTGTGCATGTACAAATGGGGTGCTATCTCCACCAAGAGGTAGCACTGTTTTATTTGAAGACCGTGTTTTTATTCTGCTAGATACTGGCATCACCCGCTCCAATT